ATATATATATATATATATATATATATATATATATATATATATATATATATATATATATATATATATACGACAAAAGAGAACAAGCTACTGCTCTAAATGCATGCATCCCTAAACAGCTCTTTGAATACCTAGCAAATCTTCTCTCTTCATTTTATATCCATCTAAGTTCCAGTGAAAGCGGTGAACAGGAAGCAAAGTTAGGCAGCCATTGGATTCTCGTGAGAGCGGATTTTTGGCATCCTTAAGGTACAGCTATGGTTAGCAGAGAGGTTACAGAGATGGCATACAAATGCAGTTGTATAACTGTACTAGTAAGTTGGGAATGCAGATTAAATATATGCTGCATACAGTGCAGTATGCACAGTGATATTCTGATTAATAATGGATGGGGTCAGGGATATTACAAAGATGTAAAGTTGAGCACGAAGAGGGGGAGACTATAGGAAGTTAGAGAGTCTGCCAAGAGGCTGGGAACAGAACTGCTTCTGTTTTTAAACGTGACAACAGATACAGCATCTGTAGGGACGTATATATCGTGGCTAAAGAACAAGATTGAAAGATAATATTATATTCTTCCCAAGAAAAACATCCCAGCCTGCTAAAATCTCAGTGTCAGTGTGAAAAAGGACGGATGGTTATGGAAGTTTCACACAGTGGATCACCTCCTTGAAGCCGTCTTTAACATTTTTGGCACTTTCCCACTAGCCTCCTAGAAACACCTGCATCAAGTTTGCCTGAATGAATGACTGAGGTGCTCAACAAAAAATGCTGGGCTGTGCGCCAACAGAATTGACAAAGACTCCTGGGTAGGTGTCAAAACACCTCCAAAATTTCTTTCTTAAGGAAGTTTCAGAGGTTTTTTTAGCTATGATATCAATCTTTTGATCAGTCTACTTCAGCTGAATACATGAATAACTACATTTCACACAATCAGGTTAATTCCAAATTGATTCTATTATGTTCATATTAAAATACATATACAAATACAAATCTGCCCATATACATCTTCCTTAATATGATTATAACCCATAGCTCACGACAACAAACATATGCAAAAATATGCACAGTGACTACAGTATAGGCTACGTTCACACTGCAGCCTGAAGTGACCCAAATCTGATTTTTTGGCCCATGTGCAACCTGGATCTGATCCTTTCATGGCTGTCTGAACAACACAGATCCAATTTTTTCCTATCCGACCCAGGCCACTTGACTATGTGGTCCTGAATCCGAAACAAATTTGATCTTTACAAATGCCACCTATGTCTGAACGGCCAGGTCGCATTCATCCGACCTGAACGCCATTAATACCCAACAAAGGTCACTATTCTGGGTCTTGCTATGCAGAAGCAGCATTAAAAACAACAACCATAGCAGACAATGATGCAGAGAGCAGTATTTATGTTTAACCATCTTGAAAAGATTGTGTTGTTATGGTTGTGAAAGACCGCTAGATGTTTACTTCCATAAACACAGAACATGCTGGCCTGTGATGTCATTGCGTCCTCTACTGCGCATGCGGGACACTTGCGTTGCATGACAGCAGATCACATACAAGTTGTATATATTTGGATGTGAACTGCAACGCAAAAAAATCGGATTTCACAAAAAAATCGGAATTGACCATCAAGGCCTGCAGTGTGAACGTAGCCTAAGAGTACTCATTGATGTTCCCTTCTTTTATCTACTATATTTTAAAGAAAACAACTGTCAACTTTGTCACTTTAAGGGTGGAAACAGGCAGATAAAGTAAACTGCCTGCGATTTACAACTTTTCAGGAAATACCACCTCTTGAGACTATTTTCTTTTCCTAGTTGCAGCCACTGATCTCTATTTATTGGCTGGATTGCTGATAGCGTGTCGTTAGTACAGGATGGGGTGAACCGTCAGGCCGCCATATTACTACTCTAACATTGGTAAACAATACGTGCATCACATAAAACAAAGATGCTTTTCTTTTTTTCGGGGTGCTTAAGACTTTTAAAATAATCACTTGGACACACACTTGCTGTTTCCTAGCCACAGTAGATTACTGTAATTTATGGTAAAAAAATAAAATAAAATTAGGCATATCACATTGCATAGTCATTATGAAGTGAATGAAGTCTATAAATCATGTAATAGGAAATATTATACAAATCCATCACAATAAAATGTATGCGTTAATGAAGCATAATCATACAGATGTGCCAAAGTGCTAAATTGAGGATGTAAATGTAATAGATATGGATTGATGACATTGTTATGGTAATTACACATTACACATAATTGCAAGATTTCACATCAAGACTGAATTACAACTACATGTCTGTTAATGTTTTAGTATTTTCTTATTTGCAAATTATGCATGCATGATGGCATGTACTTTCATGCTGTGTCTGTGCATACGCCTTTAAAAATGTTTGAGTGGCTTTTTTTCCTTCAATATATATATCTTGCAATATATTTCAGAACATTACTTTTTCAAATGAGAAATACATCAAATACTACAAAACCAACATTGTCATCCACTTAATAAAGAATTACTACATGGATATTTCATAGTGAATTACTTTCTATTTACTCTACTTTCTATTTTCTAACTTTAAACACAATGTCAAAGGCTAAAGGGCGAATAATTCTTCTGCAACCACACACATCAAATCTCGTTTTCGTTTGGTCACGAAACAGTTTTGCTGGTATGCTTCTGCACCGTCGGTCTAGAATTTCTAGGGACGCACAGCAGTTTCCCGCCAAAGGGCAAGGGGGAGCCTATTCGAGAGTTTGTGAGAACTTCGGTGGATGGTCACGAGAACATGTCTGAGGCATCATACAAGTGGTTGTACTTCCAAACTTCCTCCATCAACCTTTCGTCGTGGTTATCCATTATTGTTATCACTCCTCGGTTTTTAAAAATGGCGCGCCCCAGCACCGAATCGAGAAGGACGACCACACAGACAGCCGGAAAGGCATACCAAGGACCAATCACAGCTGCTTTATGTCTGTGCACCTCCGTTTGAGGTCTGCGTGGGTTTGCGACTGTCCGACGTGTAGTCAGGATTTATTTTGATGTTGCAGAACGTCTGCGCAGTGGGGATGGTCACGCACAGAGACAGATCTGACGGTTGCAGACCCTATGCATCAGAAATATAAATTAACTCCTAACTAAGTCAATGTCTTCAAGTCGGTCTGAGATAGCCAGACTTATGCTACGCTACATACTATACTATGGGATACATCATACCATACATATATGGATTTTCTGGGTTAGCATATCCACTGACCCTATATTATCTATGAAACATCTTCCCACAGCTGGAAAACTGCTTGTTTTTGCAGCCAAATGCTACACACATAGGTATTATTAATGCGCGTCTCCGTGGGAGTGGGGAGTACCAATATGGCGGCCATTGGCTTCCCTTTTTTCATGCTATCAGCAATCCAATGAATAAACAGAGATCAGGTGTTGTAGCTCGTAACGTTAGCAAAGCATCTTCAGGTTGTTCTTTTAGAATTAAAAATGGTGCTGAGTGAAGTCATTATTTAATTAAATGAGTTTAACACAGTCATGAATGTGTTCTGACAGCAGTATCAATATGCAGTATAAATTAAATGAATTATTATTATTATGCTCTAAAATGATAGTTAAATGTGGAACTTCATATCTGCCAAGCTAAGGTTAACTGAAGAAAGAGGCTTGAATGAACTTGAATGTTTACAAAATTAATGACAGAAATGGCTGCTGGATATGAGGTCAGAATTTTACTCTTGAAGAGAGCAGATCAGAGCAAAGTAGTTAAAAATGCTCAACAAGTTAATAAAAAAGGCAGGCTCTAGAATCTCCCCTAATACCTCTAAAGATTATTTCACAGAGGAATTCTTCATAAAGTGAAGAAAATTATGGACAACAGTGAGCATCCTCTTGAAAAGATTGTGAAACAACAACAGAGTTACTTTAGTAAGAGGCTTCTCCTGATGCGGTGCAAGACAGACCACTACAGAAGATCCTTCCTGTCTGCAGATATCAACACCTACAACACTGACAGAAACGCCTCCTAAACAGACCGAGGGAACATAATTATTCCACAAGAGAAAACAGATGGTAGAGGAGCCATGTTTTCCTGCACATGGTACTGCGTCCAAGAGAGTGCTCAAATAATTATCCACAACTGCGATCACAGCTATACAATCTTTCTGTTTTTAAATGTGCAACTGTGAGTAATAATTGCATTATTGTGTTTGCTTCATACTCTATAATGGTTTTTTGCAGGAATTTGATACCAAACTTTAGCTACATCATGTTCCGGCAGTGAGTAAGTTAAAACCTCCTATTAAGCTCAGTAGTTTTGGGGTCGCTTAACAAAAAGGATTTTAGAGTAGCATTGCTTTTTTCTTCGATTTTCTTCTCAAATCTTTTTATAATATTTTAAAATTTCCCCCAAAAATAAAAATTTTATCTTAAAAAATTAAGTAATATTTTTACAAAATTTATTATTTCCAAATTCTCTTTTCTAGTCTGTGTTTTAGGAATCGCATTCTTTGCTAAATGTGTCTCTTGATGCTCACCTTGACCATTAAAATGTTGTTTCTAACTTCCATCCCGAACAATGGAAAG